AGGGAGACCAGTGGTGGCAGAAGGCACAGAATATTCCAGAAGGGTGAAGACAGAACTTCCTGGTGGGGTTGGAGATTGGGGATGCCTGGTGCCTTGGCAGGGCCATCTGGGTGCACACTGCTCCCTGCTCTGTGTTGCCTCTGCCTGTAATGCGTTCCACACCGTGGCCCGTGTGTGACACCCCACCTCCCACGGTGCGTCTCCCTGTCCTGAGGAGATGCCAGCATACCACCTGCTCCTCAGCTCACCGTTACCTCCTGTGCTTTACGGCCCTTGGTTTCGCCTTGCTCCTCCCCCGTGTCTGTGGCCATGTCTCGGTCATCCTGGATCTCCAGCACTCTCCTGAGGCGAGGTCTCAGCGTGTGCTGACTCTGCCGTCTGGGGACAGGAGGCTGTGTGGCCTCTGCTTCTCAAAGGCCTGGGCCAGGGTGGGCCCTCCTCATCCTTGGCAGTCACATCTCTTCTGGTCAATACCTGTGGAGTTAGAGCTGTTTAAAGGAGAGAAACTTAATGTGTCATTACAGGGCTCCCTTACAAATTACCACAAACTTGGTGGCTTGAACAACAGACATTCATTCTCACACTTCTGGAGGCTAGATGTCTGAAATCAAGGAGTCAGCAGGGCTGGTTTCTTCTGGGGGCTCTGAGGGAGAAAGCATCCCATGCCTCTCCCTAACTTCTGGGGGTGCCAGGTGTTTGATGGCTTATGGACACATCACTGCAGTGTCTGCCTCCATCCCACATGGCCTTCTCCTCTGTGTGTGTGAACTCCCCATCTGCCTCACTCTCATTAAGAGGCTTGTTGCTGGATTTAGGGTCACCAGATAATGGGGTTATCCCATCTCCAGGTCCTTAGTCACATCTGTGAAGATCTTTTTTCCAAATAAGATCACGTTCACAGGTTCCGGGGGTTAGGATGTGGGCATATCTTTTGAGGGCCCAGTTCAACCCCGACACTTAGTGGAAGATTTTTGTCAGTGAAGATGTCCTCATCATAGACTTCAGCCTCCAAATAATGACATCATGTGCGAGAGTATGTCTGAAACCTTGCCTGTCGGTTGACCTCACCATATTTACCACACGTCTGTTCCCCTGGAGTGCCGTAAGCTTGCTTGCACATGGGGGGCCCTGGGGACCTCGGCATAAATCATGTCCTGTGTCCTGGCCTTTTCCTTGGTGTCGAATTTACCGACAGCCAAGAGGAGAACCGTGTTTGTTGCTGATTCCCTCCTCTTCCCCAGCCCTGTCAGGCTCTTTCTCGCGGAGTGAATTAAATCAATATTTACTTCTAACGTCCTGGTTCTCGGTACATCTCCCCAGTGAAATGAAATTGAAACCCACAGTAAAAGAAGAGAAGAGGTCTTGGTTTACTCTGGACAAACAAATCAGGCTAAATGTATTAATAGTTGCCCCTTGGAATAGCTCTCGGCTCCTGGTGAATTCTGTCAGCCCAGGTTAGAAGCCCCTTCCCATCCATGACACTGTCAGGCGCCCACCACAGGTGCGCTGTGTTTTTCCCTCTGAATTAAGCACCGCCACCCTGTTGATCACCACCCTCTCAGTTGTTCATACTGTGGTCACTTTGTAACTGAATTCTTTGGGTTCTTGTCCTGTCCTATTAGCCGATCAAAGTAAGACGGATGCCAATTGCAAGGGAAACGAAGTGGCAAGTTTATTGTCTACGCAGACGAAGAGAAACGTGGGGCCTAGAGGCAGAAAGACCACGCCATCCCCACCCAAGGGGATTGGAGACCTTTTATGTCCTCGAGTCCCCGGGGGCAGGGATTGGGGCCTGAAACCCTACACCCTGAGCCCTCACATGCCCAAATCTGGAGATCCTGATGCTGAGTCATGCTGAGTCACGGTTTGTAGGAAATTCGTGTTGTGGGACTTCTCGCTTTCCAAAGGGGCTTAGGTGGAACTGTGTGCTGGGGAATATCTTCCCTTCTGGCAATGCTCAGTTCCAGGGTCAGTAAGGACACAGTTCTCTAGATCTGTGCATGCGCCAAGATCCTGGCCTACATGCGCAAAGATCTGGCGCTGGGTACAAACGAGGTTAGAAGTCAGGGTCTGCAAGGGCAGTGAGTGAAGGGTGAGGGAAGCCGCGGCAGAGCAGGGTTTCAGCCTGTGTGTTGCTTTGATGCTAGAAGCTATGCCACTGATACTTTAAATACTAGCAGGGTCACCCGTGGTGCACAGGTTTCAGTGAAGTGTCCAGACTGGGACAGAGTAGGAAGAAAGGCCTGGTGATTTACTTCCAAAAATTAGCCAACAAAAACCCTACAGATCACAACAGAATGTTTTCCAATATAGTGCTGGAAAATGAGTCCCTTAGGTTGGAAGGCACACAGATTACACAGTGTCCACAACAATGGACTTGATTTCAAAGTCCAACGATTTTGAAGATGATGAGAACCAAGCAATGTTTTGTTTTGTTGTACATGGGGTCACTATGAGTTGGAGCCAACTCTAGGGTAACTAACAACAACAACCCTTTGACCCAGCTCTCCCTGCTCACAGCCCCTGGGATAATCTCAGAGCTAGAATGAGACCCTGGGAAACCAGTTGAGCCATTCCCAGACAGCGTAGTCATGGAGCACTAACGGTGATGAGGCAGAGAGTGTATGGTGTATGGAGCTCTAATGGTGGAGGGGGCAGAAAGTGCGTGGTGTCATGGAGCGCTAATGGTGGATGCGGCAGAAAGCGCGTGGTGTCATGGAGCGCTAATGGTGGATGCGGCAGAAAGCGCGTGGTGTGATGGAGTGCTAATGGTGGATGCGGCAGAAAGCGCGTGGTGTCATGGAGCGCTAATGGTGGACAGGGCAGAGAGCTTGTGGTGTCATGGAGCGCTAATGGTGGATGGGGCAGAGAGCGTGTGGTGTCATGGAGCGCTAATGGTGGACGGGGCAGAGAGTACGTGGCGTCATGGAGACGCTAAAGGTGAATAGGATAGATGGAAGAGAACTCTCCTGTGCTACTACGAGCTGGGGAAGGGGTCAGAGGCGGGTGAACAGGAGGTCTTAACGGAGGCTGCCACAGCAAACTGCCACTTCTGTCCCCCGGGAGCCATTGCTGGTTCTGTCCTCTGGAGCCCCATCCCTCTTCTCCACCCCCCCCCCAGTTGCTTTCTTTTCTACCCCCTTGGAGGGCCCTCCCTGACCGCCCGCCCTGTGGCCCTCTCCTCTGTCACCTCTGCCCCTGTCTGCCCCCTAGACCTGGAGCCTGTGGTTTTCTAACATGTGCTATCTCAGTGCTGTCACAGTGCCTGCTACGTAGTGCACCATGGCTCAGCAAATATCGAGTGCCTGCTGTATGCAGGCATGGAGCGTGGCTCTGGGAGAGGAGCTGTGACAAGTCAGGGGTCCCTGCCTCACGGAGCTTACAGTCTGGTGGACTCAGTCATGTGAGACGAGGTTTGCTGAACGAGTGAATGGACGGTTGACACAGCACAGCACCCTTCAGGTAGTAGGTGTTTAAGAAAGCACCGCTGTTCACTCTTACCTCATATCATCTGCTTCTGGGAAGAGTCTGCATCAGCTTTTGTCAGATGAAGGAAGGAAGGAAGGCATGGAAAGGGTGGTGATGTCAGTAAGCACGCTTCGCATTAATTGAAAAGTTCAGTGGTTTGTACCCACCCAGTGGAGTCACAGAAGAAAGGCCTAGTGATCTGCTTCCATAAAGATTACCGCCAAGAAAACCTGCCTGTCCTCTTCACTTTCAGCGTCTCCGTGACGCCACACACTCTCTACCCTACCCACCACGTGTTGTTACACAGTTCTACTCTGTAACACATGGGGTCACCATGAGTCAGAATCGACTCCACAGCAGTGGGTTTGGGTTTTGGTTTTGCATGCAGAACCTCCTTCTGTTCTCCCAGAAATCCTCCCCGTTTGCATTTTAGTTCCTGTTTGACAGATGAGAAACCCGAGGGCTGTCGGGGGAAGTACCTTGCCCAGGCCTCTCAGCTCCTGAGGAGTTAGAGCAGGATAAAGTGTGTATTCTCGCCATCTTGCCTTCAGGCCCTGGAAATGCACGGGCCTCTCTGATGTCCCTCACGTGTTTGAGGGCCCTCACGCTCCAGCCTTCCACTTTCCTCCTGGGCTGGTTTGCTCACCCTTCACCATCCTTGCGGCTCCTGTCTCCGTTCTTTCTAACTCTTGCCCATGTTCTTGAAATGTTCTTGAAATGCAGCCATTTCTCTCCTCGAGCTCTAAGCTGGTTCTTTAGGAAGCCCAGAGCCACGGAGCCAGGGACGGGGCATTAGCACCAGCTGGGATTGGGCCTTGCTGGAGTCAGCCTCCTTGGAGCTGGCAGAGGAAGGCGAGGCCGGAACGCTCCTCTGGTCCTCTCGCTGACAGATGCTCCCTCGGACTTGCCTTCCCAGCCCCTGGCAGCGAGCTTCCGTCTGCTGCCTACGCCCCGCGTCGGTGAGGCGTTGGTGTTGATGGCTGACACCCGGGCAAAATCAGTCTTGCGAGGCCGTCTACTCCTGCCTAGCATGATACGGATCTTCTCACAGAGTGTCGGGCTCTCGGAGTGTGTGGGAGGACAGATGACCTGGGATCAACCTAGTCCTTTCTCACTGCCAGAGGGACCAGCTCTAAATCTCCAGGAGCCCTGCCCTCACCCCCGTCTCTGTTGAAGTAAACAACTTCCACTGAGCCTTCTGACCCTGGTACTTGGGGCAACGTGGGTACCTCCTGGGAGTCCCCGGATGCAGCGTGGCGTCGGGAAAAGAGCTTGGGCTTTGGGTTTGAGCTCTGGTTCCCTCATTTAGCACAGCCTGGGGCCCTGGCCGTGTTGTTGGCGTCGTTGAGCTTTGCTCTCCTCGTCTGTGAAATGGGGTGAGAATAAGCACAAGGCATCGCTGAGAGGATTGTCTGCAGTGCAGGCAAGGGCCTGGAACGTGCCAGCTGGTCCATCAGCACCAGTTATAACTTTGTTCTTATGGGTGGAGCGTGATGTGGGGCCTGTGTGACCTGTCTCTTGCCTCCCCCCAGGTGACGGACGAGGAGCCCAGCTCCAACCACACGGTTATGATCCAGGAGACCCTGCAGCAAGCGTCCGTGGAGCTGGCCGAGCAGCACCACCTGGTGGTGTCCTCCAACGATGTGGAGGGCATCGAGACAGTGACGGTGTACACGCAGGGCGGCGAGGCCTCCGAGTTCATCTTCTACGTGCAGGAGGCTGTGCAGCCCGCAGAGGGGCAGCCTGCGGAGCCTCCCGGCCTGGAGCTCTAGGGCCATGCGGCACGGCCGCCAGGGGCACACACCAGGGCGGGAGCCTCCCAGCCCGCCCAGCCCTGCAGGATGGCGCTGCGCTCCCCCCCCCCAGCGTCTCATCCTACCGCTGGCACTGGATGGGCAAGGTGATCAGCATCACCAGCAACACAGGACCGGTGGCTCAGCTGTCACCACCCCCTCCCCAGCACAGACACACACACCCCTCTTACCCTGTGTCCTCTGCTTCCGGAAAGACTTCGCCATCAGCTCCCCCTGACACGCACCCTACACCGTATCACCCTTTTGCTGCAAGATTCAGAGACTCCCAGACCCCATCAGCTCCTTCCTGACGCATCCCCAGCTCACCACCCCATTTAGGCACAGAACCCTCAGGGGACCTCTGCTCAGTCTGGTGAAAGGGAGATAGCCATCCCATAGAAAGTGGGCTTATGGGGGGGGGGGGGCGCCTGGCTTGTCTACCGAGCTCCACCCGCCTCCAGTCACTGGGGTGCTTGTTACCAGTGAAGTCAGCAGGATTTGGCGACCCCACCAGCTCACCGCCCCATCACAGGTGGAGTCTCAGCTACCATCTCGAATTCTTTTCTTTCAAAAAAATGTGCTTTTCACTGTTCCCTCCCCTTCTAAGGAGGCGAGGTGGATGGGAGTAAACCATTCTCCCCCTGAGTGCTCTGCTGTCAGCTGGGGGTTCACGTCCGCCTTCCTGAAATGAAATCTTGGGGTGGGCCCCACCCAGAACCACCTCTTCCAAGACCCAGGCCGTTCTAGTGCAGACAATGCTCTTTCCCTCTAAAGAATTTAGGTTTACTTTGGGGCCCACTGTTTGGGGTTAATGATTTTATTGTCTGTTCCCTGGCTCCCAGCAGGCAGTTCGCCACCAGCCAAGAAATGGCAGCACTCTCTTTTCCACACTGTACTTGGGAGGAACAATAAACTGACAATCAGAAGCCTTCCTTGTGCAGTGTTGTTTGAAAATTCAAGCTCGGTGCTCCTGATTCATTCCTCCATGGGGCCCCGTGATGGACACCCTTGTGGAAGGCCTGGAGGGGAGTCTGGCTGCCCCTGTCCAGCCCTGTGGTCTCTTCCAATCTTCCCCTCATTCCGTCTCACTGAGATCAAGGTGTGTGTCCTCTGAGAACCCCATCTTCAAGTGCAATCTGTGTGGATGCATACACATATAATGTACAAAGAGATAGAGTGGCAGGTGCCCCGGTTGAAGAGGGTGCCCCATGCCCTTGGCTCCTCTCTGTTCCAGGTTGAAGGCTCTGGGTATCTGCTGGGTCTTCCTACAGCCCTGTGCACTCTTAAACTTGAACATGATACAGGGGTAAAAGAGCCTGCAAGTGACTCGGCAGTTTTGGTAAGAAGGTCCTTGTGCTTGGGAGGTGAGCTAGGCTTCCCTCTGAATCCTCATCTCACATCCATGGTCTGTGTGATGTCCAGCCAGCCCCTTAACCTTTATGAATATCAGTCTCATGACTTATAAAATGTGATAAATGATATCACCCCCTGTGCCCAGTTTTAGGATTTATGTTGTTGCTGTTAGGTGTCATCGCGTCAGGTCCAACTCATAGCAACCCCGCGTACAGCAGAACGGAACACTGCCCAGGCCTGTGCCGCCCTCGCAATTGTTTCCCATTGTTTCAGCCACTGTGTCAGTCCATCTCATTGAGGATCTTTTTTTGGCTGACCCTCTAGTTAACCAAGCATGATGTCCTTCTCCAGGGACTGGTCCCTCCTGATAACATGTCGAAAGTATGTGAGATGAAGCCTTCCTATCCTCACTTCTAAGGAGCATTCTAGCTGTACTTCTTCCAAGACAGATTTGTTAGTTCTTCTGGTTGTCCACAGTATGGTCAATATTCTTCACCAACGCCATAATTCAAATGCATCAATTCTTTGGTATTCCTTATTTGTTGTCCAGCTTTCGCATGCATACGAGGCAATTGAAAATACATGGCTTAGGTCAGGTGCACCTTAGTCCTCAGTGTGACATCGCTGCTTTTTAGCACTTTAAAGAAGTCTTTTGCAGCAGATTTGCCCAATACAATATGTAGTTTGATTTCTTTTTTTTTTATTAATTTTTTTATTTTTTTTATTGTAAATCAGGTGAAGGCTTACAGAACAAATAGTTTCTCATGAAACAGATGTACACAAGTTGTTTTATGACATTGGTTAACA